GGAGTCTTGAGAGTGTCAGTGTCTGCGTGAAAGGGATGCCACTAAAATATTCAACAGCGAGGAGTAGCGAGAAGCCCCGAGGGAGCGTTCAGCGATCTCACAATGTTTTTTTTCTGCGTTTGTTCAGTTCTGACCATAATAACTGTTCAGGGTAGGCGACAGCACTTCAGCCTAACTCCCTCGCAGGTTAGACAGGCGTGGGTGGAGGGAGCCCCAGAGAGAGAGAGGAATAAAGAAGAAAGAGGGAGCAAGGGTAACTTCTTTTTTTTTTTCTTACTGAGGGAATTGATGCGATACGAGTGGGAGGGCAGAGGCACTAGAGGACAAGGCCCCTAGTGACCAAATTAGCTGGAGCGGAGAGGGTTCTCTTGCTAAATTATTGATCAAAGCCTGTAAGGTCAGCGGGGAGTAAATCCGTACAGAGTCTAGAAAACAGAATAGGATGGGTTGAGCAGGATGTGGTGTTGAACAGAGGGCTCGTGGTGGTGTTATGGTTAGGGGTGATGGTGGTACGTGAGGCAGGAGGGAAGGCAGCAGCCAGCTTAATTTGAGCCTGGGCTCCTTCAGCTTATTCAGAAGGGAGCATTCCTCTTCTGGGGGGCTTTGCAGGGCTAGGATGTGGTAGGGAATTCTTCAAGGGCCAAAGCTAAGGCGTTGGGTTGCCGTGGAAGGTGATTTAGGTTCTCTTTTGGTGTAAAAAATGAAATGAGACCCCTTGGTCAACTCCCCCTTGGCTCTTCCCCCTCCCTCTGCACTGCTCTGCGCTAGGAGAGAGCCCGAGGGCAGCTGTGCAACGTGGGTTTGCAGCTCTGGGATTTATTGTTTAATTCGGAGCGGCTCTTGAGGCAGATTCTGGCGTGGCAGAGTGAGAGGTTTCCAACGGCCTTTTCATTTTATTTACTGCTCTGGTGCCAGCCTGGTTATCCGTGTGGCTTGATTCTCTCACGCCTCACATGGAGGGTTCGTTAGTTGTTCTTGCCAAACAAAACGTGGGCTCCTCTGGTGTTACCTGCTGCTGAATCCCCTGCCCTGGAGTGGACGTGGAGTCTTTTAGGTTTGCAGGGAAGAGTTTCTCCCTGCTTGGTGCGTGCACCTCCTGCCGGCTCGATGCTTGCGCTCGCAGGCTGTTGTCAGGTAGCAGAGTTTGTGTGTTTTCTGGCATTTGTTACTTTTCATAGTCCGAAGTAGAACAGCCCTTGTGTCCCCTTGCTTTAAAGGCTGCTGGTTCTCTGACCCTTCCATGACTGAAGGTATCTTCACGTTCCTAAGCAGCAGGTACGTGTGATCCCTCGTATCCTCCCCGCCCTCAGCCGTTCAGTGCGACTGGTTTTGTTTGTGCTGCAGTAGCTCTGATAAACCCCACTCCTGCGTAGGATGCCAGAGTCAAGGAGTAAAATATTTCTTATTTTAGCTTATTTTGAGGGGGTTTCTTTAGCTGTAGACTGTATATTTTTTTCAGAAATTACAGGAGTGGTCTGTGCAGAATTATTTTCTACGTTCATATAAATGCAGGTAGTTAATTTAAAAATAAAAATGCGTCTGCCTTCCTTGTGATATTTGAAGGGAACTTCAGTTACACCCTCCCACCCACTGCTTTTTAATCTTCTCTGGGTTTTTTTAATTTTTTTTCCTTGTCAGGTGGAAGATGGGACCATTTCCCTTGTGTTTGAGGTGACTCTGCCACCTGGTTACCATGAAGTCCCGCAGGCGATAGAGGGACAGTAGTGGGAATTTCTTCTCACTCCTCCAAACAAATCCAACGATTGCCTAATGGTAAGAAAGCTGTAACTTTAAATGAGCCTCACGTTGTACAGTGTCCATTAATCAAGGAATGTGTTGAAGAGTCTGAGATCTGAACCCACTGGGCCACATGCAGGGGGATCGGGGAGGATCCAGGCTCTAAATGCTATGTGTTTAGAGAGAGCGGGAGGAGCTGGTTTGAAAATAAGATTTTTCTCTGTTTTGTGTCCTCTCCCCAGGGATTACCTCTTATGCTGACGTCATGGGGACCTGCTGCAGTTGTCTGTGCAGAGACAGCATCCCAGACAACCATCCCACCAAATTTAAGGTAAGTCCTCCACCTTCACCCCCATCAGAGTCTGTGACAACAAAGCCCAGCATGGGTTGGATTTCAGGGATGAGCAGAAAGAAAACCTCTGCTCTTGCAGAGAAGTCTTTTGCTTGATAAGATTTGTAAACATGCTACTGTTTTGGTTTGTTGCTTGGGTTTTTTATATTTTTAATTTTTTCCCACAAGCGACCTCTGCTGCAAATACGTTGGTATTTGCAGCTGAAATTGCCTCTGCGCTGAGCTTCAGCCTGAGCAAGGAAATGGGGGACTGGAGAGAAACCTTTTATTGCTCAGGGCTGTGTTCCAGCCTCTGTGCCGAGACACGTCAGCTCAACTGCCAAGCACACGGTCTCCAGGGCTGCCGGCTCGGCGCCTTCTGCCAGCAATGAATTCCCGCTCTCAGCTGAGAAAAAGGCATCACAGTCACTAAAGGGAGAATCCGTGGGAGTTACGGGGTCTTCGTGGGTGAGTTTATTTGATAGCGGTGTGCTGCCTTTCCTCATGGGAGCTTTGTGGCCTCTGCAGGTAACGAACGTGGACGATGAAGGTAACGAGCTGGGATCTGGGATCATGGAGCTGACACAGACGGAGCTCATCTTGCACACTCACAAGCGAGACGCTGTCAGGTGGCCCTACCTCTGCCTGCGCCGCTATGGCTA